GTTTTATTCGATCCAAATGAGAAAATGAATTTCTCATCATTTTCCGGTCGTCACTGGGTGAAAGCGTGTCTCTTTCAAAGAACGACGAAGAATCGACACTGTCACGTTCGCACAGTATATTCAAAGAACGTAGCACGACGCACGCGTGAAGAGCCCGTTCTTCGTTTGCCAACTGGCCGAGTCTGTTGTCTCTATTCTCTGCCACTTCGCGTGGCTGTTCAAACGCAGCCATCGTAGTCAGTGAAAAAGTTTTAGACTGACCGCAACAAATCGACCGCGAAATTTAAGGATCCCACGATCGACGACGCGTCAGAGACCACTGTGTGCTGGTTGATTAAGGAATACAATAGGAGATTCAGTCGGAAATATCTTGCCACGGGACCGAGAACTTTCAGATGAAGGTTCACGTACCGGGTGTTTCGTTCGACTCGTGTTCATTTCTATTCCCGCCCTTTTAATCCGCTCATAATTATTCCCACGCCTTGAAAAATTCAAAGGAAAGGAGATTATAGTACAGCGTGTAATAAAAGTCTCTGGACTCTGAGTTTAACCCCTTGACCTATGATTTTTCTTGCTGATTATGCATCGAAGCGTTACCTCTTTACTGTTTTAGTAAAAAGCTAATGTATCACAGATTCGTTACATTTGATAATGCTCAGTATAATTAATTGAAACGAAAGTTATTAGATTGGTGCAAATAAAATGTTCCTTCATCTGCTGGAATTGGCGGGTTAGTACCATATGTTAAATTTTGTTTGATTCTAAATTTTTATGCACAATAGTTAAGAGTCGTACACGTGCATTGAATAGTAAATAAAATTCATAATACAATTCTTTACACATTATTACCCGACGTAATGAATAATTGGGATATTGGCGTAATTTCTTTGTGTAAGTTTGAACTTGGAAAAACTGCGGTAAAAACTACTAAAAGTATAAATTTAGCATTTGAAGAAGGTCGTGTAAATGTTTAGACAGTTACGTTCCTAACAAAATTCTTGTTTTTTCTTTTTTTACACTTTAATCGTTCATCGGCGGATGTTTTGACGTGAATCTTGATTTTATTGAAAGCAGTGTTCCGCGTTCCTCACACGCCAATTTAATTTTGCGTGAGTTGAATGAATTTCTCTTGTAGACGATATGAATGTAAACTACTTCAAGTCGACCGATGTAGACTGTGTTTGTCTTTTAATCTTTTTGAAAATGTGATTTGGACATTTTGACGCGTTGGAATTCTTGCTACTTATAGTAAATGTGTAGCGTAGGGGTGGCCTATGATAGTGAATAAGAGCTCTTCTTCGTCTTGGACTGTCCTCCATGAGCACACGGTCCACCCTGGATTTCCTCAGTCGACAGGATCGTGGTACGGCGTCGTGGCGAGGGTGTGAGACCCAAGCACGTGTGTGGTGATTTTACGACACGTCAATTGCCATTGAAGGAAATGTACAGCTACCAGGAAGGCGTATGGTACGCAGAAGCGTCGAGTTTCTGCGTCCATGAGATACTTTCTGGCCCTCGACATTGCTGCGAAAAGAAAATGAAACGCAAAAGAATTAAAATTAAGGAGCTTTTAAAAACAGCAGGCCTGGTCGTTCGTGTCACAATCCGTTTGCGACGCAACAGCGGGAATGCGATTTGATTATGCAAAGCATCGTGGGAACTCCCTAATCGATCGTAGACTCAGCCTTTGGTGTATAAAAAGTTAATCCTTTTGTTTAGGCATCGCGGATGATTGTCAATGTAATGCATTCCTTCTTTGGATCTAATTTGGTCCAATGACAGTATAATTTAGTTAGTGCGACAGGCTGTATCGTTCTTTCTTGAAATTCGTCCGTAAACTGAATGCTCACTATGCGTTCCAAGGGTATCGAAGTTAATATTTTGATCATCCTTGATATCCTAATATCTAGGAACGTCTAGTCTAAAACCCATTTTGTGTGGACTTTTCTGAAGTGGTCTAATGAATCTTTCGACATCACGTCTCGTGTGATTTACCACTCAATTGTCCACGGTGTCCGAAATGAAGATTAATAGAATTTATAGTAGAAGAAGAATTATTTATTGTCGTAAAATGGAAGACAGGGAAGAAGGGAAAACATGATCCTTTCATAAATTGGCAATCCTGTTGAGTGACTCCAAATGTTTTAAAATTGAAAACAAATTTTTTAAATGAGAACTTTGTTACCTGAACTCAGATTGCAAAAATGTTCGATCTACATATCTGATATTTTTTTTTAAATGTTAAAGCAACTCAGCAGGTTTACCAGTTTATTAAAATAACATGCTTTCCTTTTTTCCTCCTTGGAATTTTTTTATCAAAACTTGGGATATTTGGGGGTAGTTGAATGTTGCTGCACAGTTTTTGAAAGTTTTTATATTTTTATGGAGTATGTAATTTGCAACTTGTTTCGAATTAATTAGGTTTTTATTCTAGGTCTTTATTTTTGTTCATTTTTACATTTCTCATTTAATGTCGAGTTTGCGTTATTTTTGGATGCAATTGTAGAATTTGTTAATTTCGTGGTATTATTGGATGTTGTAGAAATGATAAATTCTAATAGAGGTCGACAGAAAAGGATAAAATGAAAGATTTCGTAGCAAAGTATTCGTCGCAGAGATAAAATATGCTAACTTCAAATGCAAACGATTTTACGCAGAAAGGGAAAAAATAAAAGATTCTTGTTTTTCGTAATAATTTCAGAAATCTTATCCCCGATCACAATTTTACAAGAATCAATACATATTTTAAGAAGCATAGAAGTTTCTGTGAACAGGGACTCAATAATTTGAGATCTACTTAAAAACTGTAGTGAATAATTTCCAGAAACATTTTTGGTAGCATTCTTCAAACAAAAGTCTGATGCCAAGCCACTATTTTCTGCTTACAATCAAAGTTACTAGCAATAAGTAAAATCATTTCACTTATTAGTTTCCCTCTTCCGCTCTTGAAATGTACAAAACTTATTCTACTTCATTTCTAAGTCACCCGGGGTCATTGCAGTAAGATGTTCGAAAAAGTTTAGCAATTTTCAATGATTATTTTTTCAGTGAACACGAAATGCAATAGCACAAAACTTTTTGTGATATATTAAGATACTTATAAAGAATATGAGCTAATTATCTGGAAGAGGGGGCCTCAACTTCGTTGACCTTGAGCTTGGAATATGTTGTAGAGGTTAGGGTCCTCAGTGAACGATCGCAGTTCAAAGGTTATGAGAAAAAGAAAATTGTACATTACACTTACTCCAATATAAGTGGTTAAAAATGAAATTGAATACGTATTTGCATAGGATTGCGATCTTACTAGTGGTAAGCTATGGTTAGGTTAGGTTAAGTTAGATTTTTAGCGGAGCCGTCCAGCCACTCATTTGGCTGAAAAATTGCACAATTCACTGTGATTGATTCAATACTACATATATTGTATAACTTTCATTTTGTCATAACTTTTGAATCACGATCGTTCCACTCCTCGACAAAGTGTGCGTTACTCAGAATCCTCTCCTCTACTTTTTCCAGATAATTACCGAATATAAAATAATATTCAAGGTGTTAAAATTAATGTTTTTTTTTTTTTACGATACAAAGGTGACACGTTCATAAACAGATGCCCCGCCAGTGCAGGTGATTGCACATTGTAGACTTATCCGAAACAAAAAGTTCGAACAAACTTCTAATTAGTACGAGTGTCACTATCGTTGGATTTAGAAAAAATTATTTATGTTGAGTATTAACAAACTGGCGCGTGTTGAAAGTGTAAGTATAGAAATTTTATCCTTCTTTCGACAATTTTAATTCTAGTTCGGACCAGAGACATTGATATATGGAATAACCTGTTAAAATTTCCGAGCGATCAGTTGGCCAGGTGAAAGAATAACGTTTCGAGAAAAACGCGCTTAAAAGTTCGAGAATATAATTTTTTAAGGAAAGTTAACACAGTTAAGATAACGACAGCGAACTTTTGTGCAGTAATGTATTCTCAGAAACAAACGAAAGCATTTCTGAAGCTAAATCTCCGTGAATTTTCAAAGCACTCCGTACGTCGAGTGTCCCATTTACACGTTCAACTCTGTCATTACTAAATTATTAAGAACTCAATCCTATCTGCTCCTTTTAATACCTCAATCTCGAGAGTCGAAAGTCTTGACTCGTGTGCGCGATAAATAATTTCGAGCGAATAATTCAGACGAGTCTTCGCTCCTCCGGTTTCATGTGTCATAAATCTTCGGAAATGTCAAATGCCTGCAGCGAAATTATGGATCGTGTAGGTCAGTTACTTGGTTTTACTACAGCTTGAAGCTGAGAATTACAGCTAAGAAATTTACTAAAAATTTCACTTTGCTATTCCCCTACATGAACATGCTCTACAACCCCTGAGAACGACCTTAAAGGAAGGAATTTGAGTGTTTCACGTTGCTCTGGAACAGTGTTTTAAAGAATTATGATAGAATTGTCGTATTGTGATATGTCATATTACAATATACACTTTAGTTGTCTAAGAGTCACAATACAAAAGCTCTGACACTTTAAAAATTGATAAAATATTTATTCAAACAATCTTCTACGATTTTTTATCCCAGTAGCTGAGTAAAGTGGAAAATAAGTGAAAATAAATAAGTCAAGGAATATTAAGTATTTTTATCGAATACGAGTTTATAAAAAATATATTACAACTTGTTTATGAAAAGATTAAAAAAGGATTTCTGAGCATCCGCAGTTAAAAACAAGTTGAAATGTACTTACTTAAAATACAGAAAAAGTTACAGAAGTTACAGCGTTACGTTTTTGCCACAGTAGGAAGGACAACCCAATATGGAAAGCGAGAGAAAATAATTAGAAAAACTTATTCTTATTGGATGATTAGTCGTACAAAATGTGAGACACTGGCGTTAAGGTGTTAAAATTCCCTCGAGTTTCTATCTCCTCCAATTTGTTCGAGTTTCTCTCCACTCAATTATATCGACACAGCTCATAAGAAGGACCTCCTCCATTTGGTTTTGCAGAAAATGTCGTCGGTGCGAACGCAATCGACCGGCGGCGGCGTCCTCGGTTTGAGCAGCGTCGGTTCCGATCGCACTGGTGCCACCTCGACTGTCGCCGGTTCTCATTCCCACTCGCACAGGAAGCATCATCATCATCACAGAAGCAGGAGCGCGCCCAGGGCGCCGGAGAAACCGCCGAGGAAGCGTCATCTTAATCCCGGCCACAGCCTCGCTTCCATTCCCAACCAGATTAAGCTGTCGATGCTGAACAGCGGCCTCATCTCGTTCGGTGAGTGGTACTATGATTCTCTGTCTCTTTGTTCGACCGATTCTCGATTTCATTTACTGTTTTCTGGGGCGAATGGTTACGTTACGTACTTACGTCTCTGTTATGGGGGGAAACTGATTCACTAAATTTGCCTGTAGCTAGCACATTTTACTTGTTCGTCTAAGTAGAGTACTTAATATTGTTCAAGATTATTAGAATTATTAGAATTATTAGAATTATCAGAATTATCAGAATTATTAGGATTATTAGGATTATTAGAATTATTAGAATTTTCAGAATTATTAGAGTGATTAGAATGAGAATTACGGGTTTATAAAATTGTAAGGACTATTAACATTATTCGAATCATTCTAATAAGAAGATAGTATAAGCACACTTGTAGGAGTTAAAGTTCAGGTTTGGTTAACTATCACCTTTTGCTAAAAAAATAAAGATTAAGACAGCTTAATTTTTGATAATATTGGATACGTACATATGTACGTATGTAGGATGTACATATATTCTGATTTTTATTAGGTTAGATTTTTAGTTATTTGGAGTCCAGTTTGATATTATAAAGTTGAAGATCGTCATCTGTAAAGTGGGGTTAATGACACGAAGGCGCGATAACAGTATAGTTCTATTTCTGAATGCGATTTTATTAAAGATAGAATTCAGTCGTGATATAACTTGTGGACGATGAATGAGCCTTGATGTAAACATGCGTAATTCGAAGGTTGTATACGCAAAGTTACGTTGATGATACCGAAACGTGACGTTTATGGTATGTCCCTTTATAAAAGTGCACGTATACTCGACGAGGTCATTGAACTTGATGTCTTTGGAAACAAAACTTTTTCTCGACCTACTGCATGCTTTTAAAGTTATTATCTCGTACAGAGGATCGTATTTATCTTCGTAGTTATATTGATATTAACATTGTAGCGATATTGATGATCACCACTATGAAGATTAGTTTGTCTGTATTTAAATTAGAAGTTCTATAGAGTTCATTTCTATAATTACAATTTAAGACTTAACAGAGAGCACACGCAAAGAAATATTTCGCGTGATCACACGGGGTGGGATAAAATTTACCTAATGCGCTGAATCTCTTTTATATAAATTTAAAAACTGTTTTTTTCTTATTTTTTTAATGTACTAGTAACATGTAAAACTCATTGTTTTTTATTCCAAAAAGAAAATATAAATATTACAAAGGCAATAAATTACGTATTTAATAAAAAAGAAATGAGAATTTGTATGTACAAATTTATTCTTTATTATTCAGGGATATTGAACTTTATTGTATTGAATGTATTGAATAATCTCAGAATTGAAGGCATATTCTCTCAATATTTCCAAAATTATTAGCGAGAAAAATATATAATATATACAGTGACATAATTACAGTTAGTCGTTTAAGAAATTAATCCTACAACGTTGATAAGTAGGTTTGTTCGTAAAATTGGTGCTCGAATCGTTTCTATCGAGTTTCAGATCGACTCAATAGTTGCCTTTAATTTATCTCCATTTAATCACGCCACGGGATATGGTTTTGTTTAATTTCCTGTTTCGCTCGGAGCAAATCGTTCTACAACGAGTTTCAAAGTTTACGGTGCATTTATGGACCAGTCTCGTTCAGGATCGTGAAATAACGTGACTATGTGGCGCATAAGATTATTTCGTGATCATAAAAGCTGTTCCATGTGTATAAATACTTTATATACTCGCACTAGAGCTTGACAAATGATGAATATTCATCGTCTAAGCTTTATTAGTTCGTTCGGTAGCGTGTGGGTTATCGATGAACCGTGAGGCATCTCCATTCTGCGTTGCCATTATGATTTATATTACAGTCCTAAAATTTTTTTAGAATACCAGCAGGGGTAGCTGTATAAATGTCGATAGAATATTTAAAAAATAAACGTTCCCTGGTAAAGTGTTTATATTTTAAAGATTAGTGTATTAGAAGTATGTATGTATGTATATACGTTATTAGATTGTGAGGTAAGAGACGAATTAAAATTCAAAAATTTGCTATATTTGTTATTCTAAAAATTCAAATATTCCAGAATTTAAAAATTG